GTTTTTTAACTTCTCCTTGGTTTGTAGTTTTGGGGATTATTATTTCCTGAGTGTCTTTTATATCTCCACAAGTAGTTGTCCAAAGAACCCAGGGAGCTCCATTCTTGGAGTACCACTAGTACTGCACAAAGGTGATAGATGAGTGATATTTTTGTTTCTAGATTAACAGGATATACCTAAATTTAAGGAGTGAATGAAAACATGAGAGAGGATATTCAGGTTAGTAATCATTCTCCTTTCACCCTCAGCATAACAAGCCTAGACGTTAGTTAGAAGGTGGAATCAAGTTGTACATTTTAACTGTTGGTAAAAGGGAGTTAAGACAAATTTATTAAGGGTGATCTGTAAGAGGCATTAGTGATAAATCTGTCATTTTCACTAATGTGAGCAGTCAGTTCAACTGTTAACACTCATTATGAGCATACTAGTGTATCCACAGAACAAGAGAAGAACAGTTGTCATCAGTGCCACGTAACAGGTGTTTGCAGGGCATTTCCATGGGAAATGATGTAGTGGCATCTAAAAGCACTACCTTGTCTACAAAAAAAAGTCTTACACAGGCAACGACAAATACCACATGGTGAAGTATTTACTGCAAGATGATTTAAGCCACAGAGCTGAGATCTTGATTAATTACTAGAGACGTGGTTGTAGTCTGAGGCACAGGCTGATCACCCAAAGCTCTCAGTGCAGTCCCCCAGCTGTGCCACCACAGCTTTGCTGGCCTGAACTGCTCTGTGAGGTGGTGTTGACTGTAATGCTGACTTCATCCAGGTGCTGAAGGAAGGACTCACTGAATGTGAAACCTTTGCTACACTTCAGGTAAAAGGAAACTTCAAAGCTGCCAAAAGCACAGTCATGCAAATTTTATTAAAATAAATCCTTCTAGAGCAGATACTGTTGTCTGCTTAACCACAAAATCAGATTTATATTTCACTTTATGTGCACTCAGTATGGTTTTTCGAGAGTGAACAGCCTAGACTTGTGGGTCAGCCTTACACCTGTGTTTTTCATGGTATTTTATAGTTTATTACTTCTACTTAGAACTGTCCAAGAGTTCATGAGAGAAACAGTCTGATATTCCACAGCTGTTAGAGATTTTTTGAGGATGCAGCTAGTTGATATCTTTTAACAAAAGCAGGTCAGCTAAGATCCTAGACAGTGGCAATGTTTTATTCCAATATGTATGCACTGGCTATAACCAACATAGACTCAGGCTTAGGTACACTAATTGCCTTAGCAACTTCAAAAGTTATTTTTATTTTGCAGTAGCAAGGCTGGTTCCACTTTCTAATATAATATTTTGAACAAAAGGTTGGATACTTTTGTATAGTCATATTCACTGCCCTGAAAGTTTTGAGTCTTGATATTTAGTAATTCTAATTCAGTCTAGTCTTGGTTTTTTTTTTTCTGAAATAGTAAACTTGCAAATCTCTCAGGCTTTTCTTCTTCCCCAAATAAAGTTAGCAAGGCACTTCACCAGAGATGGATTCATTGAGAGAATATTTTCCTGTACTGTTATTGTTAAAAACAAACAAACAAAAAAAGGCCCGTATGTGAAACGGCATGTTTCTCTTCTAGACTTACGCTGGCTCCATAGCATCAACAGTGGAAAAAAATAAGTAACAGTCCTCCAGAGACTTTAGCTGTATCAGCCAGGGCTGTTGGTTAGTGTAAAACAAAAACAAAACCCCACCCACAAAAGAAAACAGCTGAAAAGGGGCTTGTTTTAACTTGCCCAGTTTATGAAGGTAGCATTTTTAGCGTATTCATGTGAAATTAAAAGGTCTCACCTCTGAGCCAGGGATTTCAGAAACTGCTCTGACTTCTCTCTGTGTGCTGACATGGGAAGTCCTCGTGCATTTCAGTATTGCTTTCGAGAATCTGAGGCAGGAGCAGAATTAAACATTTCCTAAAGTTCTAATTCAAGATTTGCCACCGTCACAGAATCCCTGACAGGGTGAGGTTGGAAGGGACCACAGTGGGGCATCTGGTCCAACCTCCCTGTTCAAGCAGGGTCATCCCAGACCACATGGCACAGGATTGTGTCCAGGCAGTTCTGGAGTATCTATCCCTCCAGTGAGGGAGAGAATCAGTTAGTTTACAGCTGGTATTTCATACCTGGAGGAATTTCCATGAAGATTTGCTAACTGAGACAATGTGGTAGACGTGTTTTGCAGAACAGATGAAGCGGCTTTTAATCCTGAAACTTTGTTAACTCTTCTGAGAGGATACAGCTTGTTAGGTGCAGCTCAGCCAAAACAACTCATCCTCCAGCAAAGCTGTATCACTGGTATCTTTTTTTGAAGCGAGTCTGGAACAAGCCTAAGGTATGAAGGTTTTTACCCTCCTTTCCAATCAACTTCGTAGTTCTTTCCTCATTCTAAGTGCAAGAGGAATTTCTCAACAAAGGCTGGGACTTGGCATTATCTTGAATCTGCTTCACTCCTGCAGTCCCAGATCGGATCTCTGTCAAAAGCCAGAGAAACAGAAGGACAAAGCACAGATCAAGAGTCAGATAAAACAAAGAATAGTAAGTTGCTTTCATAATTTTACATGAGCAGAAAATAGAGCTTCTAGAATCAAGATATTTTGGTGGTTTTCCCACTTGGGATAATTTGTTTATCTTGGGTTTGGTGCCGTATATCCAGATGTAACTAAACTGGCTCCAGGCAAAGTTTACCACAACACTTTTCTATTGTTCTGGGTTAAAAGCTTTTGCTGTAGTCTTGGAACATTAAGTTCTGTATTACTTAAAATCTACCATGAGAGAGCAGAAGTTACTGATGTCAGAATTGGCAGAATGTTTAATCCTCTCAGAGAAATTAAGTTATTGCTTAGATGCAACAAAATAACATGGAGAGAGAGGGGCACTAATTCCCTGTTTTGCTTAACAGTCATCTGAAAAGGTTTCAGGATCTCCATGTGTATATAAATGTCATGATGTCTGCTAGTGCTAAGGCTGTCTCTAGAAAAAAAAAAACAGGTAGTTCTTGTGCCTTAGACTTCTTGAAAGAGTTCTGGCCTCTAAACAAGGCTGTCATGTGATGTGGTTGCTTACACGTCCAGGAGTGCTCAAAAACAGTTTGTTTTTTCTTAAAGACCAGCAGATGCTCGTGCCTCTTGCCTATTTATAGCCTCCCTGAAGTGCAGAAGTACTGGGACATTTTCAAAGGGATTGTCTTTTAGTTCCCTGTTAATGTAAACTCTGCTTTTCCCAGTAAATCAGGCACGGGATTGTCGGCTTGGTTTGATCTTGTGTTTTAAGATGTATCTTCAGGCAGCTCTTAAAGCAGTATCTTAAATTTTGCTATTAAAAAGACATGCTAAATGAAGTGCATTAGTGTCAAACCACAGGGATGTGGTGATTGTTACTCTGTGAGCTGGAGCAAAATGGGAGTCCAGAATTGCTTTTTAATTTTGGAATGAAACAAGCTCATGAAGAACTCCATGACTATGAAGAAATAGTAAGCAATTAATTACTACTTCCTAAAGCAACCTGTAAGCCTTAATTGGGTATACTGGGACAATGGGAGATTGCATTAGTTGGCTAGGTCTGAGAACTTTAATGGAATTATTTGTTGGATTAAGTTGGGGTTTTTTTAAATATATAAATAAATTTCTACATCAGAGTAACTTCCTAGCTGCTCCTAATCCTTTCTCACATATTAAGTTACTGCTAATGAGAAGGCTAACGACTAAAGATAAAAATAGAGCATGTTGAACTTGACATGAACCTTAATATCTTTTCCAGCTTCTATGAGGATTGTATTGTGAATTGTGTATTGTTCAGTTGCTTTCTCACTGATTAAAAGTACTGAAATAAAGTGTATTGTGAAATAAAGTTGCTGCCCTTGCTTTGTTTACATTTTGGACATCTTATCTAAACGTTACTTTACAAATTTGATGCAAAGTTAAAGCTTGGAGATGGGATTTCTAAGTCTTAGTAAGACTTGTTTTTCCTGAAGGCAAAATATGCTGCTAGAGACATAAGACAACTCAAATTAATTTATTGTCAAAGCCTCAAACACACTTGTTTTGTTTACTTGGTCTTTGTCTAAAGCCAGGGTGGCAGATCAGATATTTCACTTCCAGAAGTTCTTCGAGCTTGGTTTTGCATGTCTCTTTATTCTGCTTATTGTGAATTCTTTTATTGTCTTAACTGGTAAGTTTGCTAAATACTTTATAGAAATAAGATTGATCTTGCCTGAAGCAATTCTGCAAAGCAAGATGCATGAAGATTTGGTACCCTCTTAAAGAGAAAACTAATACTTCTTGTTCTGGGAGTAGGTCCTAATGTGGCTTGATTACTTTTGTCTTTATCTTAGTGTTGTACTTGGAGGAGAAGAGGGCACTCTATATATCCTTGCCCAGTTTTCTTCCACTCAGTAACATAAAAAGTAAATCTGAATTAAATCTTCTGGCAAAACAACAGGCCAGTGCTAAGCAGTGTTGTGCAAAGAAAAATTAGATAATTGGAAATACCACATCATTATACGGTCATGTTATGCTTTCCTCTGGAATATAAGTATTTCTGGTATGTGCAGTATCTAAAAGAGTATAATGGACTTCAAGTTTCTCTGTATTTTTAATGAGAAACAGAATTTCCAGCAGTTCTCTCTCACCATTTTTTTCCCTTCTTTTTTTGGCCTGACAGTACAAGGCAGATCTTTACAAAACCACAAGTGTCATGGAAAATCAACAGGAAGAAAGTGTTTTCCTCTTCAGTCATTTCGTGTGTTCTCCTTATTATCAGATGGCAGGGTTAAAAATAAAAAACTGATACTTTCACATGGTGTGGAGCTGAACTACAGAACTGAGGGCCACAGAATGTTTCAGCAGTATTAATTTTCATGGGTTCAAAAGGGGAAAAAACTTATATAGAAGAGAAATCCAGCTGCTAGGAAACCCATTCCTTTTGAACCAGGAAATTCCTGAACAGTAGATTGTGAAGTTTGACATTATTCTGAAATACATTCATATGCTTTTTTTTTTTCTAGGCATTCCTATGGGCTTCTGTTGGAGAGAACACTGTGCTAGGTAAGTCTCCTGTCAGGACTGCTTTTTCTCTGGATCCATTCTCATAAACCCTTGATATTTAGGGGGTTAGGAAAAGGAAGAAAATAATTTCAATTCCCTTAGAAAAATCAAGATATTTTCTTATGCTCTGTATCAGTATGGTATAGTTTGCTCTCTTCCACCTCCCTTAAACTTGAGGGAATGCATGGTCTGACCTAATGCTGTCAGATTTGGGGAATACTTGGACCAGTAAGAGATGTTGCTCTTAAAAGTCCTGGGATGGAGTGGTAGCATCCTTCTGTGTTTATATCTGCCTTTGGCTTTTTTGTTCTCTCTGCCACTGATACCAGTTTTTCTTTTTCCTGAGGTGGCTGATAGTGTGAATGCTTTGCTCACAACTGTTCTTTGGAAGGGATGGTGATGACCTTGGATTTCTTGGCTAAAGCTGCTCTAGGCCCCGTGCAGAGACCATGCTGTTCACTGATGGGTGTTGCTTGTTTGAGGCTCTGTCACAACCTCTGGGGTAACCAGTTTAGATTGATATGGCAGCCTCTGTACCTGTTGCTGGAGTATAGCAAAACTGAAAACTTGTCTGGGCATTCCATTCAGTGGGATTTTGCCCTCAGGAAAGGAATAGTGTCTTAAAAACTCTTTCAGAATAATCTGAATTCAGATCAACCTCTATTCTCTGCAGTTTGGCAGGTGCCCTGAAATAGAATTCAGGTGAACTGGCTTGGTTAGGATAAGGTAAGGGTAAAGCAAACTGAAGAAAAGGAGAGGAGACAGTGAAAGAAAAACCTTTGCAGAATGATCTCTTAAGGGACAGAAAAGACTGTCTTTTGTTTCTGATAGCTGTGCTCATTAAGATATTGCAGTTCCTAAGCCATGATTTGCAGACAGATGACACACTAGTATGTGGTGGACAGAAGGGATAAATAACTTTTGCTCTTGACTGGATGGAGACACTTGTCTGAACATATTGTCTGTCATTAATCTATTTTCAATGAAAAAAAAAGTAAGTCACAGCATTTTTATTCTGTAAGAGGATCAATGATATCAGACTTGTTTTGTAACCTATTTCTTGTGTTCCCTCCATAGTGTGCCGTGATTATCCTGTTATTGTTTGTACACCATTCTTTGTAGTCTCATCTGTATGAGAATCTAACAAATGAGCTTCCTACTGGTGAAAGCTCAGGTGTAGGTAAGGTTTTGTTGCTTTTTGAACTTCCAGTGGACTGTTAAGTACATTAAAAATGCTTCCTCAGACTTTGAAAAGAAAAGCTATGCCATGCCTAGAGACAAGTGTTGGTAGCTCTTCTCCTAATAATTTTGGCAGGGCCCAAGAGTACAAAATTCTGACTGTGGTGTGCCTCACCATGGCTTCCCACACCTGAAGTGTGATGTGATGTGATGTGCTGTGGGAGAAGGTCATTCCCTGGACAGATGCAGTGTGGCATTTACTGGTAAGAAAACACATTGCAGCATTCACCCTGTACAGCTGATCTTGGCCACTGGTATGACATAAGTGCATGACTGGTGCTAATCAGCTAATTGCCATGTTGGATTTGCTTATCAGATGCAAATATGACAACTTCCCAGGGCAGAAACGTGGCTGAATACTGACTTTAAAGCTTAGCATCAAACTAAAACTGAATTCAACTGCAGAATGTCCTGGGAGTCTAGTAAAACAGAATTGTTTAAGTCATGGGGGATTGCATCTTGGATGTCTCACTGGCAGACAAATGCTCAAACAATGGCTCTCCAGCTCAGGGTTTTATTGAATGTAAGATACAGTTCAGTTGGTCTGCTTGTGTGGGAACTACAGATAAAATGCATGTAAGAAAAAGTAATAATAATAAAAAAAAAAACAACAGCTCTCTCCTGGCATTTCCACCAGTACACTATGTAAAAATGCATAAAATTTGCTTCCTGATGATGTGAAGCTACACAACTGCTTAGCCATTCATCTGCAAACAAGGAAGTGACTGGATCTGAAACAAAACATTACCGATGGTTTTGGCACTTGAAGGGGAAGGATATGATCCCCTCTGGTTTTGGCAGTCATTGACCCCTTGTACTAACTTCTAGAATGGCTGCAAATCTTCTTAAAATTACTTGGAATATCTGTGCTAACGTTGGTAGTGTCATTTTGGAAAGTCTTGCATATAAACATCAGTGTTTGAGAAGTGCCATTTGTATAAAAACTTCTATGAGTAAAACTGGGCTGCAGTTCATCATTCTCTGACCATGTTTTACTGGAAATCACAGAGAAATCACACATCAATGCCCACACTGTGAGCAAAGGTAGTGCTGGTTGATCGAGGTTTTGTTCAGTCAAGTTTTGAAGGTATTTTAGGATAGAGATTCCATAGGCTGTGTGAAAGTGGATCCTCTGTTCACTTACTACTTAAAACCTGAATTTTAATTTATTGCAGGCAGTGGAATTTGCCTGTTGCCCTGTTGTTGTAGGCCTCGGAGGAGACTCTGACTCTCCAGTCTATAATAACCTCTTTAGGTTGTATTTTCCTGTTTTGTGTAGCATTGAACAAAGATACCAACCTTTGGGGGCTTCTTTAGTCCTCCATCTTGCTTAATTTTAAAATAATTGATCCCTTAGATCTAAGATTTCATTCAACCAGTGATGCTGCAGCTTTAGTTTGCACAGTGGATTTTAGCAGATGCTCTGTGTTACAACCACTGGTACACAGTGAAAGGGCAGCGTTTGAAATGTAACAAGATGAGCTGACTGTGCTGTGGAGAGATGAATTAATGGAATTTGGGATTACAGAAAGTTTGAATGGCAAGCATTTTTGTTGACTCAATGAACACCTCTTGCAGCCAAATGAGGTGTACCTGCATACACTCAAACTTAATCAGATTTTAATTACAGCGTTAAGCTAGAAACATATTTCCATATTTCAAGGTCAGATTGTGTTTTAGAAATGTCACCTTCGTATGAAGCAGCTGCATTTATTCCTTACAATTAAATAAATTATATATAAGCACTGATACTATGCGTGGAAAACTTGAACTGCTTTGGTTTCCTTTCTTCAGTAGCTTATTTTGTTTTTAATCTCTGATTTTGTACTCTCAAATCTGAGAGTCTAGTTATGCCAGACTCCTAAACTTCATTATATGAGATTGTAGGATACCAAGATTAATTTTAAAAGCAAAGAGGATGTGTGTTTTTTCAATAAATTTAAAAAATAATCTATTTTAGTAGCCTGATGAAAAATTAAACTAAGTAGAATTCACAGAAACATTCTGAGATACCAGGCATTTAATTCCCATTGATGGTTTGTGTGAGTCTGAGAGTTCCACTCTGTGGAACCCTGTTATGGAGAGCTGCCTTCTCCCCATAGCACTCAAATTCTTTTTCAGAATATGAATCTACCTTTTAAAAAGTGTAAGTGTATCCAGAGCTTTGATTAAAATTAGATGCTTTAGCGTAAGTTGATATATTTGCTGACATTAATTCTATAACTTGGTTCTTGTGCAAACACCTGAATAAATGTTCGTAAGTGCTGCATCTGCTGACTGGCAAAATGTGCCTAGGGCAAGTCAATGTGATTTATGAAGTGGATTTCTTTCCTGCTCGTGGGCCCCTCCTTATTGATGGGTGTAAATATTTCCAACTGTTAAATCAGTGATTTAAATGCCAGTTTAAAGTCTGCTCTAACATAATATTCTCAATCAGAAGTTGGTATCTGACATAACCAAAGCAGTGTATGTCAGTGTTCTTCACTCTCCATTGGGAAAAACCCAAATTGGGACCCAAAAGGCATCACTGAAATTCCCTGTGTTGGTCAAAGGGCAGCTCAGGATGCAGGCCCTTAACAGACATCAGATCTTCATTTATGAAACAGTTATCTGTTGCTGTGTAAAGTGCAAGTGATTGTAGAAATAGTGCACTTCAAGATGACACAACAGACATAACTAGCCTATAGTATTCTCTTCTGTGAACTGGTGGGTGCCAGTCCCACACAGCCTAATAAGCACTTAAACAACAATCTGCTTAATTAATACATGCAACAAGGGTTAAAGAAGTGCTGAGAGTTGGAGCCGACAATACCATTTCAAAGTGTTTTAAATGACCTCACATCCTCAGTGTTTTCAGTGTGACTTTTTGTACGTCTTTAAAAAGCTTATGGAAAAAAATAGTGCAATTCGCCATAAGGAAATTTCATCTGCAATCTCACACAGCACATGCACACCCCCTTGGTCACTGGACTGGGCCTTCTCCAAGGCCAGGTCACTGCAAGGGCAGGAGTGGGGGATTTTGGCGCTCTTGGCCGAGCCCTCCAGCTGCGATTTCAAATGGGATCCTGAATTAGGAGGGATGGGAGGGTGGCCTTGGCTAAGCCCTTGATCCTGCTGCTGCCTTGTGCTTTGTGGGTGCTGGGTGTGGGTGGGGCAGCATAACCTAGGAAAATGTCCCTGTTCACTGGCGACTGTGCTGCCAGGCACTGGAACTGCTTGGAGGCTGGCAGGTTTGTAGAGGAGCTGCTCTTGGTCTTTGTAATGCGGTGATAAAGCGTGTTCTGTCCTGTCAGCGTTGCAGCAGCAAAGCTACCTTGGTCAAATAAAAGACTTGAGGATCTTGGCAAGCAGTTTAAAACAAAACTGAGCATGTTCAAATACTTTCAATAAGGCAGGGACTATCTGTGCAGGGATCTTCATTGGAGCAGCAAGATGAAGTTCAGCTTGTTCAGACATTTGATCGGCTTCTCTTTTAAAGCTTTAACTTCTCAGGCTGCAGAAAAGGTGACATTTTGTTCAGCTGAGTTCTCCACTCTGTTTTGAATTGCCTGAACCAATTTTATGCGAGTTTTCCACAAAAAATAGTTCTGAGGGGTGTGTCAGGGACAGTGACTAAAAAATTAGAACAAGCTGCTGTGATGGAAAATGTTATGCATCCTTAACCACAGATGTAGTTGTGCCTGCATAGGTAATGATATGCTGTAGTGTATTTTTCTATTTCAGGCAAAGATGCCCACCCAAAACCAGCAAGGTTCTTTTCT